TGTGCAACTTCTCTAGATATAAGCTCTAAAATTGTTCTTTTACATTCTATTTAGATTTTTTGACTTATATACTGATTTTTTTTTTTTTTAAGGGTTCAACAGTTGATCGTCAAGCCAATGATAAAGAAAAGGTAAGGGAGATAATCTATCCATAACCTGTTTGAGTACTACAAGGTAATATACTGTAGAATTTACCTATGGGTCATAAGTTATTTTGGAAGGTAGTGACAAATAGTTACAGACTGACTTACAATTTCAAAATATAGATTAAAGCTGTCATATGTATCAATTTCTAGAATGGAATTGTGATGTCCTTATTTTTCTACAAGTATATGAAAGCATCTGAATATTTTAGATGAAAAGTTTACCTACATTCAAAGACAATGATTTTGTTAATGATGGGTTAAAGATACATGTTGGAGAAGAGGCCAAAGAGAAGATCATGGCAATAATACAGAAAGATACGGAGGTATTAATTATTATTGTTACACTTCTACTATCTACTATTATTGTATTAGTCAGTCTGAATCAGATTTGATGTATCATATGAATGACTGATTGGTATGTTGAACTTTATACAACGCAACTTGAATTTCCATGAGGAAAAAATATCACAGTGAAACATCATACTATCTCATTGATTTCAAGTTTTGGATGATATTGTCATTATCTGAAAATCTATTATTTATTTTAGTTTTTGGCAGGCCTCCATCTAATGGACTATAGTTTGATAGTTGGTATTCATGATGCTGATATGGCTGAACAGGAATATGAAGAGAAGCTCAAACTAGATCAAGAATCAGGTCCAGTAGAACATGAAGATATTGAAGAAGAAGATGAAGAAGGAGAAGAAATGACAGATGGATATGGTTTTTCTATCACCCCACCTGATAGCCCACAGCCAATTACTCCTCTACCATTTAATGGAGAACTGGATCCAAAATTAGAAAAATATGCATATAGGTGTTCTGATGGTAAGATTTTAATGCTTAATTGACCAATATAAACTTTTAGCACACTGGAATCAAGGTGAATTTTACATTCACCTTGTATTTTTAAACTTTTAAATTAATTTACTTTCCAGTATGTTTTTCTATCATTTGGGTATTTTTGTTTTACAGCCTGTCCCAGAAGAGAAGTGTATTTTATGGCAATGATAGATATTTTAACCAAATATGGTATGAAGAAAAGAACGGCACAAGCAGCTAAAACAGTCAAACATGGTGCTGGCGCCGAAATTTCCACAGTTAAACCTGAACAATATGCTAAACGGTTCTTAGATTTCTTAGATAAATATATTGAGTGAATATTAAACCTTTTTAAATCTTAGATATAAATCAAATCACCTGAACAATTCTCATAACAAATATAAAGTCATTTTTACCAATAATTTTATTGTTGTTTAGGATAGGTCAGTTGCATAAAAACTAGACTGGCATTGGCTCATTGGCAAGTTGTTTGAGGCTAGACATCTACACATTGTAAAATTGGGTTTGTGTTTTGAGGATCATTCTAGTAACTATACTTAGGTTCAAAATTCCAACAAAATCATAGTAATAGTTAAGCAAAAGGTTATTGCCTTTTCAAATAATAATCTTCAATGCCTCTAAAATGTCTTTTGATTCTGTTTGAAGTGAGGAAGACTACAGTAGCTTGGGCTAGTATTGAATACAATGATAAAACAAAGCTATGCATACAATTATTGATAACCACATTTAAAGTTTAAAGGTCGAAAAAGAAATGGAAATTTGCTGTTACATGCACAATGTATTTGTTTTTTGGGACTGTAATCCATCTTATTACATTTTTAATTTTCACAATTTAAAAAAAAACAATTTTCCATATTAGTGATTTAAAAAAAAAACTATTTGTGAATTTTGTTTCGTTAAAATGATATATTTTGCCATTTGATTTGGACTTTTGATTTTCATGTGAAAAAAAATTCCAAGTTTAATTATGATTTAGTTTTTAAGTTATTTATAATTATTTTTAATAGTAATAATGAGATAAATTCTTATACTGGTAGATAGTGATACCCATTTAATGCCCAGCCCTACACATATAAAGTTAGATGTATGTTGACTAAGAATAATTTTTTGTACACTTATTCAAAGTAACTAAAGTCTCCCAAAGTGATATTGTTTACACAAAAGCAGAAAAATTTTTACAACTACAAACAAGCCTAAGTAGCTAAAATATAAGAAGATACTGATTTAAACTTTAATGAATTGAAAATATCTAGACAAATAAGAATTGATGGTAAATAAAATGTGGTTTATGGTGTGATAAGTTATTTTCTACTAGAACAAGTGCTATACATGTCATTTTTTGTTACCTTATATTAGATTGTATAAATTATTTGTCGTTTCAGCTCATTGTCTGTTTTGTAAATAGATTTTAAATCCTTAATGTTCATGTGTATATGTAAATTAACTTAAATTTTACTTCTTTCAATTACTTGGCTGAGGAATAAATGAAAACTAGCTTTTATTATATTTACCTATTAGTTAGAAATATATTAAGAGTGATTTTCTCTTGTGATCTTAAATTAGATGATAATTTTTTTTTCCGTCTGAAGTGTGAAATGCTCTTTTAATGGTAACATACTCTTAGTAAAGTTATAGGTAGATTAGTAAAAGTAATTTCCACAATATATCAGACTCAATAAATACTTATCAGAGCCTTGTATATTAGCAAAAGTTTTCAGGAGATTTTCAGTTAATGAAAAGATATGTATATTTTAGTTTGTGTTAGTTTATATTAGTGCTATAATAACGGTATGCTTTGCCTCACTGATTTGGACTATATAATAGTTCTCCATTTTAATTCACCCCACCTTCACTCATCTTAATTATGATTCATATTTAGATAATGTACATGAAATCGTCATGAACGAAAAAAAACTCCCACTAACTTAGGGAACATATCAATTTTCAGTCTAGTATGGAATTTATCAGAATTGATCTTAACAATCAACAATATTTTACAGGAGAAGGTTAGATTGTTGTCACTTCAAAATAGCGGTAGACCTGTATCAGCTGTTAAAAAAATAAAATACATCTGAATCTAATGCAAGTCTGTTTGGTGTATTTTCTGAGGGTGACTGTATCTATCATCTATGATCTGATGAAATTTGTTAACATCTCACATTCTCCATAAATTTTGAGAATATTTGGCAAACATTTACTGAACATGATTTAAAAAAAAATGTCAGATCAAAGTTGACAAGTGAAGTGACCATGAAACAATCAGGTTATCATTCTGATTAGAATCAGCTAGGTAAATCTTGTAGAATATGGATTTACTAGTTCTGTCTGTGTTACTTATTGTATATAAAAATGTACAGGGTTGACACTTTGTCTCAAGTTTTGTATTATGTTTTTCTTTCACTCTGCATAGTAGGATATTCTTTGTAGAATTTTTAAAGATTAATACCTCTAACTTGTATCTCTAATAGAAAATTTGATCTGAAGACATGACTTGATGTAATTTTTCAATAGTTACCATCCGTAGACATTCCATATAATTAGTATGGTGTAATTGATCAAAGGGGTTTGTAATATAGGTTTGGAATATATGCCAACTTGCCAGCCTTGCTATCCAAACTAAACCAATATAAACCAAATTAACCCCTTGTATCTGTATAATTCACCGTTGCGTTTAAAACTAGAAATGATCTCACAATGAATTACCATATATGTTCATTACGGTTAAATGATGGGGTTCAAGAAAAGTATTTCTGTTCAGAAAGGTTTATTCAGAAATGCTTTGATGTCCAGTGACAATGAGGGTAGCAGCATGTTACTGTGAATTTTCTTAAGCAGTGTTTGTTAGCCAGTGGTCTGGATATTTAAATTACAAATAAAAATCACAAACAGTACTGTCATCTGAATTTATTTAAAGGTCTTATAGCAATCTGTATTTCAATACATTACATTAGCAGCATAATTGTAAAATTTGTGTTCATTTTATTTTCATTATGTTATTATACCTAGTCAACATGAACTTAAATTTCATTTTACTTTGAGGAGTTTAAATATTCAAAAGAACCACTTCATTGAAATGTAGAGTTATAGTTTGTTACACATACATCAAATCATTACTACAATCTACAATGAAGTCCCCTTCACATTTTTTTTGTAAAAGACTCCCGAGTTCTAGCTCTCAAAGTTGAATGAAGTTCTAGTTTCATATAGTGTAAAAGGTATTACAAGAACTAGTAGAATTTATGAGGTAGATATAGTATATAAATGTATATATATTTTCACTGTGCTATGTTTTATATATACATATAAATTGATCTGATTCAAGCTCTACTTATTCAACCTTATTCTTTCTTAAGTGCCTGATTAAGGCAAATGGTATTCTTTTCTGAGAAAAAGGCTGAAATATAAAACATCAATTTCAGAGTGTTGATTTAAAAAGAAAATCACACTGATTACACCAATTCTTTTGAAAAGTGTCAAAACTTATTGATCTAGGTCAACCACAGGAAATCTTAAATGCTTTGGAATATTTTCATACCTAATTACTTTTCATCATTTAACTGAAACCAATTAACAAATTAGAATAGAAATAGAGTGTTGATAATTGTGTATAATAATTTTAGTCTACTACCTTTTTTTCTAGAGCTTGCTTGCTTCATGATTACGATTTATAGATGGCTAAGCATCATTGCTCAATCATTGTATATAGATAACCGAAAGTGTCAATTTTTAATGCTTTGCTTTTGGCTTCCAACATGTGTATAATGCATTTTAGATCTAAATGAACCCAATTGACAGTCACAAACTTATTTTGAGTCAAATTCTTTAGTATATTGGGATCATGTTTAATTAGAAAAAAATTAGAAAGATTAATCAAAAATCATTGTTAGTGTTGACAATTATGTGTTAGAATTTGGACTAATTTGTTTGTGTGACAGACTTGTTTGTATTTTGATAAGAAGTGAACACAGTTTCAGATGAACAACAGAGATAAGCAGTTGAATTATCATTTACCAAACACTATTTTGAAAAATACAATATGATTTTACCTAAATAGATAGCATTTACATATACAAGTAGAATAAATAAATTTTCAATGAAGATGCTATACAAAATGTTTCCTGTATGTACTACCTAAAGATTAATTTAGGAATAAGCAGGCTTAATGTAACTTCTCTTTGACAGAATTCATGAAAAAACACTTCCAGCAGACATAAGCTAGTATCAAAAATGTAAAAATTCCTGATTTAAATAAAATTTGGCCTGATCAAAATTATAAAGAAAAATGTTACATTAAATGGAAGTCATGATTTAACGTTAAATTGTTATCATTTGAAACTGTATTATAATAATTGTATAAAATCTCTGTTTTATGTATAGTATATGTGATTTTTTTGTCTTCAATCATTATGATTATTGATGTCATTTGTCCGATAGAAAAGAACAAATTCCTCGTGATTACAATATTCTTTCCTTTTTATACGATGCCTTCCCACATCGCCCCTAACCATTTCGCTCCTTAATCATTCCCTTTTCGCCTCCGCTTCGCCCCGTTCCCGTTTCGCCCCTTACCCATTTTGTCCCTTTCCACTTCGCCCTTCCTACTTCGCCCCTATCTTCTTAAATAATATAATTATGCTTGTTTCGATTTTAATTCTCGGTATGCATTTTGGTTCTGGGGCACTTGGATTTGTTAAAGAGTAGGCAGAATTTCCAAACCACAAACAAAATTAAGATTTGTACTCAATATCTTCAATCAATATACATTATATGTAAGTGTTTGAGGGCTTCTTACGCCTTTTTCAAATTTTTCAGATATCAATATAATTGTATTTCTTTTTCTATATTCAACTTACTCTTATGCTCCTTTGTAAATGCAATGAAAATGAGAAAATGACGAATTGGGAAAGAGGCGAAGGGGAATAAGTGGCGAAATGGGATGGGGCAGAACGGGACAGGGGCGAAATTGGAAATGGGCAAAATAAAAAAGGGGCGAATTTGGAAGGGACGTAATGAGAAGTGGCCATATGGGAATAAATCTTTTATACGTCAACATCGGATGTGGACGTATAGAGCTTACGATCCGTCCACTTTTTTTGTAGACACGATACGATGAACGGGTTTTGAGTTATTACCCTTGAAATGTGTCAAATTTGGTACCTGTGTTTGGTACCAGTTTGAAGATATGCGGAATATGAAGGAGATGCAAAATAGGTTAACAATGGCTCGCCTTATAATTAAATTAGAAAAGGTGCAATAGTGAACATCAGCTTCGAAATTTGCAAAAGGATGAGTCACAACTTCATACTAGTTGTGCACTCGTTACTATTCAAGCATCTGTCATTTTACCAAAAAAATTCTCTTTCTAGGGGCCTACCCAGTTTGTATTACAAATAGTTATCATATATTTGATAATTTAGTAAATTAGAATGTATAGTACAGATATCACTGATTAGAATTTGCTGATAACCTAACTCAGTCCCTATCATAAAAAACAAAATGGCGGACGCCAATAGTCAATATTACCATAAACAATTCAGACGGAAGCGACGATGCATTGCACTTGGGTTTGTGGTTGTAGTCTACATTGGGTTTGTGATTCTTGGTTTTGTTAGTCAGCTTTTCTCAAAGCCATTCAAAAATGTGGATTTTCCGAGCAAAAGTGGATCAACCGAAGAAGACATTCATATGCGCTTCAAACGAAATGTTCTCCAAGAAGGTAATAATTCTATATTTCAACGGCTGCTTCTTGCATTATATCACATTTAATGATGACACTTTCAACTCGCATTTTAGCTTTATAGTAATTTGTACTCGATTGTAGGTGTTTATTGGTAAAATGGGACTGTCTGTTCACATTCACATCAGCATTTTGACCTATTGGTCCAAAATTCTAACAAATCATATATATCGATGCCAAACTAGGCATTAGAATGTAAAACGATGTTGGAGTGTGAATATGAAATCACAACTTTCTTAGATTGCAAGTTCAGAAATGGTTTTCTCGAAAGGATGAAATTTATATACACCTTTTGGCATTCAAAACCTTGCGGATCTTTTTCAAAAGTAACTATTAATATCTGGGTTTTTAAGCAATTAAAGCACATTTACCTATACCCATCATCATGAGTGAAATCTTGTTGTTATAGAGGAGAAGAACTGTACTTCAAGATCTATAGATAATTTCCCGGGTAATTTCATGACACTGGAAGAAACACAGGACGGTGGAGTATTCATACATATATTGTTGGCAGTTTATCTGTTTGGTGCTCTTGCTATTATTTGTGATGATTATTTTGTACCGTCTTGTGAACATATCTGTACAGGTAAAAAAACCACGTAACTACCAATCTTAATAATCTGAGAGTGAGCTCGTCAATTTGACATCTCTATTTAAACTTCCGTGAATAAATCATACCTTGGAAACGTGAATTGTACTGCTAAACTAATCAGTCGTAATGTGCACAGCTAAGATAAGTTTGTGAACGAAATAGCTAAAAAGTTAAATTTCTTGTTCGCGGTCTATTTCAAGGAATTATGCGATTTTTGTACAGTTCTAGTAGTTCTGAAGACTATTTACATATATTCAAAGTCAAAATCAACCTGCGGAAATGCCGCATCTGTCCCTTTAATATAAACGGAAATCTAAAGGCTTAGAGAAACCTCACACAATAAAGTAATACTTATAAGAACAAAGCACATGTCAATGTCTAAATTTTTTCCCAGAAGCCACATCAGGATATGAATGCCAGGTTTTTTATATGCTTCCATTTCACGTAATAGGTCTCAAACTACAAGAAGATGTCGCTGGAGCAACATTTATGGCTGCCGGTAGCTCAACACCAGAATTCTTTACATCAGTCGTTGGTATATTATTCTCTTTATCTATATTTCCTAAAACTAAAATTTGCTACAGCTTTCTGCAACATCTGCAACCTATATGCACAGGCCCTTGAAGTTCTGTCAATATTAATAAAATATGGCAATGTGGAGAAAATAGTGCCAACTTATATAAAAAAGATACGTTGACACTATTTTCTCCACATTGCCATATTTTATAAATATTGACAGAACTTCAAGGGCCTGTACTATATGTAACCCACTGACATAGTGACTCGCATTTCAAATCTGAGGTTTTGATTTAATCGAATTTCATTGCTCTTTAATGTTTCATCTCCAAGATATCGCAATATGAAGTTTTCCTAGCTTTTAAAGCTTTAATTGTTTCTCACAAAACCCGTAACTGTGACTCAACTGGATTTACCTGTCATCAAATTCTAACCAGAATTGTCAATACTATTTGTCATGTTTTATTTTGAAGAAGGACAGTCTAATACTACACAACTGACTCAATGATTATTATATTTGATAGCTTGTAGAAAATTAATTTTGTTTTACAGGTGTTTTTATCGCTCAAAGTGATGTTGGTGTTGGTACCATTGTAGGATCAGCTGTATTCAATATTCTCTTTATCATTGCTGCTTGTGGACTATTTACTGGAATGGTAAGCATCAGTTGATATACATGAATTCTGTCTGTAAAATATTCCCTGGAATGATGTAAGTATAAATAGTCTCAATTTCCATTTTTTGAAGCTTTTTTTTTATTATTATTCCAGGTGGTTGAGTTATCATGGTGGCCAATGTTTCGTGACCTTATTTTCTATATCATCTCAATTGTAGCTTTAATTATAGCTATATATGACGGAGAAGTATATTGGCAAGTTTTATTTTCTTTATCGCCATTCATAACCTATTGATTGTGATACTGCATAGGTCAATAATTTTCAAGATACTTTCATTAACTTCACGAATGTCCTCCATAGTTAGGGCAGTCAGATATCTTCAGTGTCAAAGGACATGAACATTGCTCAGTTCTGAATAAGATGTAGGCCTACAATGACTTACATTGCCGTGACCGTAAAAGCTTTATACACTAGCGAGTAAAATGGTTCTTATAGTGTTTTCATCTATTGTCTGGAATTCAAATCAAGAAATCAAAATTTAGTATCCCCCTATTCTCAAGTTTTCCGACTATTTAACTTAAAAAATTTCAGGTATGAGGCATTAATAATGTTTCTGTTTTACATCGTCTATATCATCATCATGTATTTTAACCCTCTGCTGGAAACAAAAGCTTTGAATCTTGTAGCCAAATTGCGTGATAGATATTTCCCTCAAAGTGAAGAGGAGCAGACATTGCTTGAAAACGAAGAACATGAATCTTTCTCGTACACAGATCTATTAGATAAGCAATCTATAGAGACTGGATTTACAGATGTCGTTGAAGAAGATTTAATTAAAGTGGAACATATTAACCAAGAGAAAGGTACATAAATAAATCTGATATATCAAGCATGTATTCACTACAGTCGGGATAGCTAATTGATCAAATTTAATAATGGAGTTGGTAACAGTAATGAGGTTATTTCCAAGACACTAATGACCAGTACTTAATGGTTTTTATTGTTAGGGGTTTGCAGACTTGCAATAGGTAGTGAAAGTACCCAAGCAAGACACGAGTTTTGACGCGAAATCAATTAAATTCTGTACTCTCTAAAACATTTTAGATTTTGACCGATTTTTTGTTTATGTCGTTCCAGATCACGACTATGAGTCGCCGTGGGAAATTCCTGATTCGTTTTTGATGAGGCTATTCTGGGTAGCTATGTGTCCTGTTAAAGCCCTAGTTTATGTCACTATACCTGATTGCAGAAAACCAGGAAAATGGAGAAAATTATTCTTACTGACTTTTCTATGTTCGATTATTTGGATTGCTGGCTTGTCCTATTTAATGGTGTGGATGGTAACAATTGCAGGTAATTCTATTTTCAAATACAATGGAGCTTGTTCTAGGAGGGGTAAGGGGGGATGCGACATCGGAAAATAATGTAAACAGTGTCAGAGATTCTCTTTCTATTCCATATTTATACAGATAATCAAAAGAAAATTAGCTTGGATTAACCCACCAACTTAATTAAAACAGGCATAATGAGTATTTATTTGAACATCAATATTTGATTTGTTGGCATGTGTCCCGTCAACAGTTGCCTATATTGAAGTAAATGCATTTTATGATGTCTTCAGACTTCAACTGTCATTTTTCACAAACAAGTGAGGAAGTTTCAAAAGCTAATGCAAATTTTATTTTAGTGGACGTGGTCTTAATCATTATTCGGTCAAGTTCCATACACTATTTCAGGGCCGTAACTAGAGTCTTTATGTCTGAAACAAAATCTTGTCTATCACAACGCTTTCAGTAGACATCAAAGGGTAACCAGCTGCAGTCATTTGTGAAAATATTGAGCAAGTAATGTGCTAATCTTTAAGGTCATCAGCCAGCTAGTTGGCATCATAACATCCAAGTGGTGTCTAAAACTCCTAATGATGATACCTCATAAATTTTTAGGAGATTCTTTAGAGATACCTGATACAGTGATGGGTCTAACATTATTAGCTGCTGGCACTAGTGTTCCTGACTGCCTGGCTAGTATACTTGTTGCTCGTGACGGTAGGTACTTACAGCTAGGTGCAGATCTGGACATCATAGAGCCTTGATAGAACCAGATGATGCCATGGCAATCAGCAGGGGCAGACTGACTCAATAGGAGAGCATTACTGTCGAGGCTGAACTAAACAATATGGCAACTCTATGGAGTCTCTGAGAGGGTTTTGTAAATTGGAATTCATTTGGGGCATTTGGACACATTTTGAAAATAAAATGGATAAAAATCATATTTTAAAATTTATTTAGAATAAAAAGGGATATAAGTGGGGATGCAAACCATTTTCTAGTCAAATGTCTTCAATTCCAGGGCTCGGAGATATGGCCGTGTCGAATTCGATTGGTAGCAACATTTTTGATATTCTCATGTGTCTTGGATTTCCATGGTTACTGGAAACACTGCGAACGGGTGGTGATGAATCTGTGTTGATTAACAGTGCTGGGTTGACGTATTCGTCTATCATTCTTCTTTCAACTGTAGCATTTTTATTAGTGGCCGTATTGTTAAACAAGTGGAAATTGGACAAAAAATTAGGAGCTACATTCATGTTTGTATATGTTATCGTCATTGCACTCGCTTGTTTGTTTGAACTTAATATTTTTGGCGACTTTAATGCACCAGCTTGCCCGAGATGATAATTTGAAGTCCTACAGTGTTATGGCAAAAATAATAAATCTTTGTTTGTATTCGTTCAAAGCAATACTAAAGCAATACATGGCAGTATTTTTATAGGGAGGAACTTGATTGGGCGTTTCCTGCGCTAGTAAACTCAGCGACGATTGGATGATGATATCTACTTTATTTCGGAAGCCGGATGTAACCTACCTTGACCACCGATGTGGAAAACCATTGCCCTAATCGATTTAACTATTATCATTGAACTCATTCACTCGCTAATTATGGCTCGTATGTATTTATTTATTTCTGAAGGACATAAAAAAGTGGGCTTCTTTGCATTAAATATGTCAATTTATTTTATCGATTATGAATATAGACTTTCACACACTTTCTCTACGTATTCAAACAACTATTCAACAATTCATAAAGAGTTATATTTCGATTTGGGACAATGCTGTTTTTGTACCATTCATCTTTGACGCATTTTTTTTTTTTATCTCAGATGAAATACAATTGTCAAGAATTTACTTGGGCACTGGACTGGATTATTCTTTTAGTGAAGGGTTTTGTGCGCTTTTTGTTAATATCCCTGTAAAACCGGATTGCGACCATTTGCGATCTTATGACGATTATAAATTATAAATTTATGAAAAGTCGCGACAAACGTCTGCGCACGACTGTTACGCTATCAGAGCAATTTCTATTGATATATTTGTGCTTGGTAGGGGCATCCATCGCCTATCTCGTGACGTTTCCACAACACTTTTGGGATCTAACTAGCCTACCTTTAACCTGAAATAGTTTTAATGGAAGAATAGAAAAGTATTTTTATTTAGTTATTATTATCTTATCGGACAATAACCCGAAAACCTTAAAAATAGGGGTAAAACTTGATGGAAAAGTTTTGGCATACCAGCCTCCCTCCCTTAACTCCCTCCCCGTGCTCGGCCCGTATACTCCTATGTAGATTGCTCTACTTAGGCATTTGTTTTGAACATACTTGACAAGTGAAAGTTTTTAGCGTGAAAAGTTCTGGTTGTTAGTCATATAATAATCAGTCTTCCTTTTGACGATTAATTTTCGACTCATGTGATGTAAAAATGAGACTGTACCCGCCTGTTATAGGTAGTGATATATTTACTATAAGGTTAATGATGTAGGCGTTGAATTTAGCAGACCAACAAAACCATGATGTCCAGTTAATCCGGTAGCTAAAATTAGAAAATGACAGTGGGGTTCTAGACACTAAATATGTCTAGATCACTCGGATGATTTACATAATTTCCAACTCACTGAACTGCTAGGGGTTACTTATTATATAAATTCATACGTAGAAAATGGTAGCTCTCATGCACAGAATGAATAATCATATATATGTAGAGATATGATATAACTTTCAAATTTCATTTCGATCATCTGTAATACACTCGAACGTGCGGCAGGGAATCAATCTTTGCTCTGAACCAGGTTATGAGTCACTATCGCAATGACCATTCAATGATTTGTAGTTAGGCCTATGAATTGACTTCAGTATTTTTTTTATATATAGATTTTCAAAAGCTTTCAACAAATGAAACGATTTTCATCGTGATAGAACCCGTGACTAATTCGAACTTTCTGTCTGTAATAACCCAGATACACCGGACATCGGACCATTTACGATCTTTGTGTCCACATATCGAGGTTATAAGCGTTTTCAGTAGGTCCACATAGACGTGTTGTAGAAAACGCCAGGCGTTGCCGACGCTGCGTAATAGACTAATAACCTCCCAAGGGGTTTTAAGCGTTATCGCTTGGCGTAATCCGCTTGACGTTATTCAATGAAATCGCAATAAAAATGTCACATGAGCATATTTATGAATTACCTATTCTAATACGAGAAAAGTTGCCCCACCAAGAGTAGACACAGTGACTTTTTTTCAGGTTTACACCGTTTATTAGATATAAGGTGCTTTGACTTAAATGCACTGTCCGATTCGTCCACCATGTTGTCTTTCTCTCTAGCAAGTGTGAATCCGCCTACGCTCATATTGAGAACGCGGAGTATTACGCTGTGTCGTTTTAGGACATACTCCGACGGCGCGCAACGTGAATCGCTATGTGGACACTAGCCTTTACGTCGACTGGAAATGTACTAGGTCGCGGTCAAACGTGAGGGAAATTAAAATCCCTGAAACATTAAAAACTAAAAATCAGTCGACCTTAAACCGTGAGTTATGCGATCAAATTGTGTTGTACTGCGCTTTTATATCCCCCAAGAAGATGTTACAACGCTTGTCTGACGACCTTTTCGACCCTAGAGCTTTCTCAACGCGTCCAAGAACAGATCAACGAACCTTAGAGTTGGTTTTAAAAATGTCCAAAATGAACGCTGCGAATAATGGCGACAAGTGCACGGTGAATGGCATGTTCTACTCGTTCATACCACGATTAAGGCGACATTACTATGCTCTGACCCAATTTTCTGGCGCATTAGCAGCTCAGTAAAAACGCCTTTCTGATGTCACTGAGCAACGGCTCGAATCTTTAAACATGATAGTTTAACATGACAGGTTTCATTCAAGTAATCGTGTTTCCCGAATATATTTTTATCACAATTAGCCCTTTTAACGCTTTACCTTTACCCACCTGTGAGACTTAACATTTTTCTCTCTGTGATATAAATTGAATGACACGCTTCACTAATTGATATGACAACAGGATGTATTTGCTAGATAGAAAACGTGGTTTATGGATGTAATGACATATGTCGTTATTTATATTTTCTTTGTTATAAATGTTGAGATAATACGGAAGTTTGGCGTTGCACAGGACGAAGTATAACATCTCGAAAAATGTGCTTCCTTGAGCATTGCTAAAAATAGTAACTATAGTCTGTGTTTCAATACTTTTATGTGTCAGAAATTTACGCTCTACATTTCATGTTATTAATGTTCTGATCACGAAATTAAGGTGGGTGAGCTCTTTATTTAATGTTTACCTGTAAGACCATAGGTCTGATTGTAGTAGAAGTAAATGTGGTATAGTTTCATATATGACTCGTTTTATATACTTGAAGGATTTTGTACATTTGTTAGTGGCTAAGGATTATTTATATTTGGTATATTGTTTTGAATTTATGTGCTAGTGCTAATACCAGAACATTATCGATACAACAACAATTTTAGTCACAGGACGTTGGTAAGACGTGAGGTATACTCAACCGACTTACATTTATTAATACTGCCTCTAAAATGATCGCACTTTTATTAATTTGTGCCTTAAGCATCAACTTTGATTGCTTAGATTTTTAATGTTATTTTTGGATCTATCAATCACCTATACATTAGTCAATAAATTTTACTTGAATGACTTCGTAAATTGAAACCTATCTGCGTTAATTATATATCGTTACTTTACGGTGTATTATTGTCCGAGACATTTTGTTATTTACCGACTCATATATCACATTTTCACACATGAGCACAATAATTGTGATATTTGATATTATGTACAATTCGCGAATTGATAGCCATAAATGTTGCCTTGTTATAAGTAGTTGAATACGCATGTATTCTAAAGAAGGGTTTGTTCAAGGCTCCGTTAACATATTCAATAATGTACCGTGTTCTGATTTCATGTATTAAAGGTAAGCATTACTGTTTAAGATGCTAACTCATTTTGTTTCAAAAAGTTTGGGCGCCTATATTTATTGATGAACCAGGATGAGCAAAGATACAAAACGACTGAGAAACTGTTGTTGAACCAAAAATCTAATAGCCATTTTGGGGTAAGTGGTTTATTGTATGATGAATATCGTGATTACAGTTATATGGTGTTAAACCTCCATGAGCAAGCTCAATTAAAAATACCCTTTCTCTTTAAGATGATGTTTCTTAAAACGGTTATAGTGTTCGCAGCAATTCTGGTCGGAATTTCATCATCGGTATCTTCACAAACCAGTAAACCCAGAGAGAAACCCACTTTTTGTGAAGGAGAAGAATGTGTCACATTACCTACAAGAAGAATTCTTAAATTTTATAAAGATCTGCTATTGACTAAAGAGGAAATTCAAAAGAAACTTGACCTATGGGCAGTGAAGAGAAAAGAAAGGTTTGGGCAGGGTGGCACAGGCTCGTTTTTAACGGTTTTGTGTAGGAATCCATTCTTTCAAAGGTGAGACAAATTATGTTAATGAAAACTCAAGATGTATGGATATGATATTTCGTTACTCATATCGACTCTAAAGTGGAAAATAATGATAAAATGTATAAGGCTCAATTTGAGCCGTCCCTATAAGTTTTCAGTGTGGAAAGATTTGGTTACCTTACAATTAGATTAAAACATATTGTAATATAGTAATTTAAGATTTCTAACATTAGCATATAGTATTTAGCTATATATAGTATCTAGATAATCTTTGATATTTACAGGCAACAGTTTTGTAAAAATTGGAAAGAAAGTAACCAAGACTATGATTTGTGTTGTCCAACGTAAATAAATTTTCACTTTTCTTGTCACATTAATTTGTCAAAACTGAAACTTTGATTACAATCTGTTATTCGCTTAATGGATACGTTTCAGAGCAGGTACATTACCATGCATATCTTTATCATAATACGCAGAATTCTATCAAGAAAACAATGAAACCAAAGAGATGCTGTGTTGACAAACCAAGTTACTTAGTGACAACAGGTATTCAGAAGGAAGATCAAGCTCCTCTTGACCTTTTGATAGAAAGGTCGTGTATAAATGCATTATTGTTGATTGTATCGTTTCAGGCAAATCCATCACATGTCTACTACCACAATGGTCAATGCTCAAAATAAAACAAAATTTTTAGTGAAATTAATCAACCCAGTTCGTGAGCAGTTTATTCCAGAAGCATCATGTTTGTTAGTATTTAGTTCTTTTGATCAATATTTTCTAGATTGTGTTGATTATCTTAAACCATATTATATGCCAGTAATGGTAGGGCAAGCTAGAAGAAGATAGTTAAAATTATTATTTACTTTATTAGTGGATAGAAATACGTGTCAGCTATCCATATTACTTTCCAGAAAATAAACCGAACAGTTTGTCTTGTAGACTGTATAAGTAAATAAAACAAATATGTGAAATTGACGATAATCTCAAGTTTCAATTTCAGTAAAAAATATTCCAAGCAGATATTACAGATTGGTCAGTACGACCTGCATAGGAGTGAATCTGAAAATAAACTTGTATTAAATTCTATAAGATTGTTAACTGAAATAAAATCTTAATGAATTTATTTCTTCATAACGTATGTTTGTATAATTTTGCAGGTCTAGTGGAGCTTGTTTTGATGGGCTTGGTACCTGTCGTGTAGATACAATATCTGTCTGGTTATTGGTCTATAATATTAAGCTTCCGCCACCATATTGTGAATTTAACGAGTTTGAGATTCCTGCCTATTGTTCCTGTAAAACAAACTGATTCTGAAAATTAATATTACGGATAATCTCAGTGTGTATTCACGCACTAATTATATCATGATCATTTTGAGTCAAGAAACGTGTAGTTTCTTAGTGATATATTATCCGTCTTATTTTATGATTTAACGTTTAATAGAACTGAATGGTAGATACACGTGGCTATTTGCAGAATAAGCGAATATATGACTTTACTATTGTGTATTCAGATAAGGATTAAATCGTATAGAAATATACAATGAAAATTACGAAATAATTATTTCGTTTAAACGAATTAATTATTTTTTAACGAAATGATTATTTCGTTTAAACGAAATAGTAAATAAATATGTTTACAATTGCGCCTTAGGGGCTCCGTAGCAATGTGATTTGTTCTCATTAGTTTATAAAGAGGTTCTGTTTATCAACTGACTTTACAAGAACTGTGCTATGCAAAAAAAAAAGATTATCAAAATTTCTTAATAAATCAATGGGTGATTAAAAGTATAAAAACGAAATAGTTTATATAGTAACTTTACCGTCCAAGAAATATGTAGAACGATGACAAAACAAAACAATAAAAACTTCACAGTTGTTGGACTCTATTGTTCTTATACGTTTTTATAAAAACATTATTCTGAAATCAACAATCATTACTGGGGCATCGACTATCAAGAATATTTCTCAGAAATCGACAGTCATCAATATTTCTGTGAAATCGACTAACAAGAATATTTCTCATAATTCAATATTACTTGGCTTCGACAGTCATCAATATTACTGTGAAATCGACAGTCATCAATATTACTGTAGAGTCGACAGTCATCAATATTACTGTGAAATCGACAGTCATCAATATTACTGTAGAATTGACAGTCATCAATATTACTGTGAAATCGACAGTCATCAATTTTACTGAGGAATCGACAAACAAGAACATTTCTCAGAAATGGACGACCATCAATATTCCTGTGGAATCGACAAAGAAGAATATTTCTCAGAAATCGACGACAATCAATATTACCGTGGAATCGACAAGTAAGAACATTTCTCAGAAATCGACGACCATCAATATTACTGTGAAATCGACAAACACGAGCAGTACTCTGAATCTGACAATATTTGCCCAACTAAAAAATGGTTTCCATCCCCAGTTGTATCCCCACTTTATTTTTAACAAATTTAAAAATATGTTTTTCATACGTTTTTGCTCCTAAATATGTGTCAGAATACACCAAGTCATTTAAATTTTTCGAAAATTTCGCCATGAGAGGCTTGCAACTATGACGCTTCAACAGATATACAGTAATGTTTGTTAGCTTACGTGAGTCTTGTTTACGTAAGTGATCGCCGCATGTAGTATTTTCAATGAGAATGAATTCGAGGTTACGTACACGAGATGGTGCGGCATAGCGTCACAGCGATTGCCGCTCGAAAACGAAAATTTGAATGTGATATTATCATGGGTGCGACAAAAGAAACATATCAACAGAGCGATTGTTCATCACTGGGTCAGATCTATACATGCCCTCAAGCATATCGTATTATCAATGTCCCTGTGGACAATGTGTTTTGTGGCAGAAAAGGATTTCGCATTAGCCGTTGCGGAATTTCGTCTGCCGCAAGTGAACCCGAAAAACTGACTTAACCAATCAGATGCGATTGTTTATCATTTGATCTGCGATGATGTAGAAGAAAGGGTGAGGGTCAAAACGCACCTGCCGATTTCAGCGAAGGTTATTGACAGTTGTCGATTTCAGCAATGGATTTCGACTGTTGTGGATTCCAGCAATGGATATTAACTGTTGTCGATTCCAGCAATGGATATCTACAATTATCGCCTTCAAAGCATGTAGGGCATATTCGTTTAAATATGTGAGGCATTCAGATTTTCTTTTTTTATTGGAGAGTAGTATATCATACTACAGCACAGTAGGTTAATATAATAAAAGTAATGTCAAAATATAAATTTGAGTCCAGTTCGGTTTTTTCGGGGACAATCTGATCTTGCAAACGCTAATCCGCTTAGCAGGTTGTCATTGCTAATGAATAACGGATCAGCTCGAAGTTTATTATATCATTTGAATCCCCAATAACAATAAAATAATAATAAGGATTATCGGGCGAATAAAGAATATACACTAGAGATACATAGAAAACATCAATATTCTTAAGATTTTTTTAAGCTCATTCAAATAATTCTAGGATGCCAATCGATACGTCCACAAATATCTTATAAATTATATCTGCCGGTATGAAATAAATGTATAGCTCAGGGGCGACAAATGACATGGCGCTATGGCGGCATGATATAATACATAGCTCACTGGCGGTATGAATATTGCTCATGACGAAAAGGAATATAGCTCTGCTGTGTGAAAAAACACCACGTTATCAAGTATAGTTCCATTACCGTGTTCCACAGAACTCAACGACCGTATTGAAAATTGTCCCCTATATGTAATGGTAGTATATAAGTATAGAGTTAAGCTTCGAGACGGTGTAATTTAACAGTGGTATATAGGCTCGAGGCGACATAGATTAGAGCTACACAATATGACATTTTACAATATATCGTCTTCAGCTATATGTAGTATATAATATCCCGACAAGCCCTTTTATAATAGAGAGCCATCAGGTACGTATCTAATCACGAAGGGTGACACAAACTTCAAACGGTTTTGGGGCTTTTACCAGTCCAAATACATATTCCATCTTATAATCGTCAAAATGCTGGGGTTTGGAGAACTTACACAGCTGAAAAATACCAGTAAAGAAAAGAAATATTTCAGTGCGAGCCAGAAATTCTCCCAAACATTTTCTTCGTCCCATTGAAAAAACGTTGAATTTTTCCGTGATGGTTTTGTCTAGTTGGCCTTTTGAGTCCAAATATCGCTCTGGTCGAAACTTGTCTGGGTCGCCCCAGGTTTCCTTGTCGTGACTAATAGAATATAAGTTTGGGATAACAATAGTGTCCTTCTTTATAGAATATCCACAGAGTTCTGTGTCTTTGGTAGCTGTATGTGGTATGACAAGAGGGGCAAGACAGGTATACCTCATGATTTCATTGATAGTGGCCATACAGTAATCCATGTTCTGTTTATCTTGAAGCATTGGTTGTCTCTTCCCCAAAACGTCATCGATTTCTTGTTGGACCCTCTCTTGTACCTGTGGATATTTTGTCAAACACAAGATAGCCCACAATAATGTTGTGGATACAGTCTCGAACCCTGCTCCAAGAATATCAACTACAGTGGAAAAAATCCTTTTCTCTGTAAACTTTGAATCTGGCTTGTCTTGTTCTTCTTTAAGAGCAGCAATTAATCCGTCGGTTAGATGACGCAATTCTCCAGGAGTGTACACCTTCTTATTTTCCTCGATTTTGATATTGACCATGTTGTCAAATCTTGTTACAAGGTCAATAAATTTTGTCACCTTCCACGGCATCACAAACCTCAAATAGGGCATCACATCCACAGGATTACCGGATCCTACAAATTTACTAAATTCCTCTGAGTTCATGATAAACTCCTTAAAGTGTAAATCCTCCTCTCGAATATTTCTATCCTTACCAAAACAAACCTGAAATATGATACTACCAACACTGGTATAAATTGCTTCTTTTGGGTTTATCGGTGTACCTTTCATAGCTACCAGTTCAGACGCTGCCATTCTAGCTTCAAAGTTGACAATTTCTTCAATCGGATTCTTTCTGGCATTGGCAAACTTAAACAGAACACTTGAAGCCAAATGCTTGTGTAAAATAGTTATCTCACTGAAATTGCCAAATGTTAAAGTATCATTCCCTATAAGTGTATTAGAAAAAAATTGTGGACGTCCAGAAAAATCATCCCCGCGGTTAACTAATGCTTCTTTTATCAGATCCTTTCCATGGATAACAACTGCGGGAAGACTTCCCATCTGGATACTAAATATATTCCCATATTTCTCACGAAGTTTCATAAAAGTTAGATGTGGACTATCGCCGAAAAATGGAAGGTATCCTAAAAGAGGAACCCCACGAGGTCCGGGTGGGGCATTGTCCTTACGAAAAACATTCAGTAAGATTTTAGCACAAACTAAAGTTACCAAAAATGTTGCAATGCTGGCTGATATCCTTGTAGACGAATCAGTAAAGTAACTTGTGATTTCCATTGTTGCTCGTTCAAAATGAATTCAAACTATACATGTATGGAGATTCTTTATAAAAAAGTCTGTGTTAGTATACAGTATATAAAGAGAGTTGAAATGTAACACAAAACCAGCTCTATTCACCTGGCCAAGTATAACTGTACTGAGTAATTATAACTGCTGACTTCTGGTTTAGTTTTCACTAAACAATGATGATAATGTACTCACGAACATTCACAAAATAATATGCAATAAACTGGTTCAAGGTTTCTCTTGATCTATATCCATCTATTCGTGTTTTTTATAAATTGGACGTACAGTACAGCTTATATAATTTTGTGTAATCTCGATTATCAAGCCGTGTACCATTTTACCCAAATACTTGAATATCCAGATCGAATAGACTGTAATATTTTGTTCCTATTACTGAGTAAACGTTTTCCGCTTGAAAGATAATCATCTAATTCATACTTGAACCTTTTACTTTAGAGTTTACTGGGACACAAGTGACCCTGAAAGTGAATAACAATATCTAGTTGAACAAGGGGCTTTATTATGACCAGTAGAAGTTGAAAAACAAAATATACAGGTCTCAATTTTTGTGATAAACCAAATGCATTTTATAAGATCATAAAAATGCCCTTTGATATTAATATGATGCCTCTGTCAACTGTCTGTCGACCTCATGTCATTCCTTACTATGCATGACTTATATACAAATAATTGTTTCCTTCTAAGAATGAAGAAAGAAGATAGTGGTTATTTTGGAGCACCAAATCGCGTCTTGGCGTTTCTAGGTAACATAAGGTGAAGGGACCGAGCAGGGGCCACACAATTTCTAGAGGGGCCACAAGCAATTCTTTCACATATAAATGATAGAAATAATTTGAAGTGATGCAAATCATGCCTTTGATTCATGTTAGGATTACATCTTATTAGCATGAAAACTATTATGAATATGAAGACTGATAAAATGTGAAATTTGAGGGTAGGTTATGTCCTATTTAGAGATCTCCATAATAACACGACAGAGGGTTCGAAATGTGGGACATCAAGAAGTGAAGATCATTAAATTGAATATGGTATGATGTCACTCGTTATTCATGAATTGGATGTAGACAATTAAGGGTTAGAAATGAAAGCCTGAATTATAATATTTTTGACAAATAAATAGACAAATTGTGTTATGAAAATAAAAACAGATATGAAACGCAAATCGTTTAATTATTTAACAAAGTTATTTTGTGGTAAGTTATAGTTTATGGAAGTTATTCAAGATGATTCTCGTGATAAAATATTCAAACGTAGCAAATAAGGCAATAAGGAAGCTATCGGATATGGATGGAACTACATAGTCTTTTGATGCATGTTCGCTACAACTTGGTATAGCTTTGACGAGGGTCTTCAGAGAAAAATCAGACAGCACTCGAATACCTTGCATGGTATGGTAAACTAACCAAAAAGAATGAAGGTGAATAATTGACAAATGTTAGACTGCAGCCAACCTGGGAAAATTCGTCGGAATTACCTTCGAACATTGCTTATTAATTAGGGACGCATACAGTGACACAAACTAGTATTTCCTCTACCATTAGAAAACATCTACTTTTGAACGCAACATGCCGCTGTCCGTTCAGCCCTTCGGAGATACTAACAAACAACCGACTTACCTCACTGAAGACGAACCTCAGCCAGTCTGGTAGTTCCCATCGCCGTACAGTGTGGACACACCCTAATCTCAGACGATGATGTTGAGCTGTCAATGATTGTCCTCTGTACGGTCTGTAAGCCCTGATTCCTTGACTGTCGGTTAATCCTGTGACCTAGAAAGATGGAAATAAGAAAACTGTTATAAGACTTGAACGAAACGGTATGCACACTGTGGAATTAAAGGGGGGTAACAAGTAAATAGAGATATCTTCACATTTTATGCCATGCATTGCACATATCATTTGCATCTTTGTATACAGGATATCATTCCGAACAACTAGACGCTTTTTCATGTCAGTCCCTGTCACCTGCATCACTGGGGGACCAAGTTGAAAAATCCGACGGTATTATCTCGACCTATGCTGAGATTGATCCATGGACCTTCAATTAGCGAGCAAGCCACCCATGTTGTACAGTGGTGTAACCTATTTTCGTGCATATAAGGATTCAACACCGAATTTCGTCAATTGGTTTGTTTCGATTTTCTTTATGAATCCTTCACTTTAACCCATATTTCATGAGCAACCAACTCAGCAACGGCGGCAGAATGCGTCACCTATTTTCGTGTACAATGTTTGATCTATAAATAAGTCGAGAAAATACGTTGTATGGATACCGAGTGGTATGATTAACTTCTCTTGGTATTTATCTTTGATTCATTCTACTGGCTGACATTGTAAAGATAACCCATGTTTATCAAAACAAGCAAATTCGGAGGTCACGCGAGGTCGCACATGTAAATTACTAACCATTTCCGGAAATGCACGAAAAATAGGTTAGCACGAAATTAGGTTACTTGACTGTATTTGAATAATTATCTTACATTTGTATTGCTATTTAGATGAGCCTGCACCCATTTTCTTCATCATCACTACAACTCACGGAAGTCTTTAACCTAATATGCGCCAAAATTTCAAGGTATTAAATACAAAGTCTAGCTCACTGATAGATGTACTGACCGAGTCCCGAAAACAAGAGTTGCGCCCCTTATTTCATTATTGTTTTTTTTTAAACAAAAAACCTCGGGCCCTTCTTAAAAACATCGGCTGTGTTTTATTATGAACACGAATATCAAAAAATCGTCCGTTTAAAACAAATATTAAATCAATTCTCTGAACAATTCATATTGTAGGAGGTGCTTTTTTCGAGCTCAATTCATGCTTTGAAGCTTCAGAATATTTTTATTTGTTATGTTTTATTTTTGTGATTTGTCACAATTTCAAATTTTTTCTTACCTTGATGAAAAAAACCTAAACACCAAGTTTGTTTTGTCAATAAAACATAAAAACTTCCGCAAATTTTTTTTGGTACTACATGTACTAAAAGTAGTTGTGTAAACAAAGTATAATGCTGGGGTATACTAAAGGTTTTTGTCGACGATTTTGTGCGAATCTTGAGAATAATCTCCAGTGTGTTGGCGCCTCCACGACATGATTATCGCCTTGCCGACAGGATTATAAAATTAACCCAGTTTGATATTTCTCCATGACGGTTTTGCCCATATTCCCGATGAGACAAGAGTGCACAGATATATTTTTTATCACGCCTTTTGTTGTTAACATCTGCCATCACTGATCATCTCGTGATTATCAACATACCGGATAACGACCCACTGGAGATTCTCTTCGTTTTTTTGTAGCCGGTCGGCATACTTCTTGACAAGTCTCTAGCCAAAGACAATTCGGCAGCAAAAAAAGTTCGTGTGACACCAACATTAGTCTTGGTTACCTTGCCTTCAGCGATGGATAACGGACCATCACTGACGGACTTGGCTTACACTGGTAGCCGGGACTCTGCTGGCACTATTTCGAACATATAATTCCAATATGGAAACGGTGTCCGGTGCACACAGGAGGTACGGACACGGTGCGGACACAATTTGATTCTACTATTTTCTACTGTATCGATAATCCTGCACCGGATGCCGTACATCGTCTATTCTCACCTTTAAAGATATGAATATAAATTAGGAAAATGGCTGTCTATGCATTCCTTAACGACGAGCTTCATCAAAGAAAGAATAGTTCATCCGAGATTTGACTTAGCTTTATGTATACCTCGTGGGACACTAAATCTGTTTATTCCAATTGAAATCGTTTCCGCTTTTTAAATCTTAAAGGAAACAACTCTTCTTTCTTTTGATATTCAGAACAATGTTACAGCTATCTTGAAATAATCTAAAATTATTAGTCTCAGCTAGATTTATAAAATTTCATAATTTTCATTTCTCGTCAATTAATTAAATGTTTGCAATCAATAAAGATAAATTTAGTGTGGATATGTTGTTCTATACGTGAGGTGCAAAGTTGGCCGATTTCAAAGAACAAAAAATGAAATGAAATGAATGTAGTTTTACGTCCTACTCTTCTGCACCTTGTGGGCTAATGAAGACGGGCAACGCCATGCAGGGTGCCATGAGGGAAATTTTGCCAGGACAGCGGCATTAGCCTGCTCTTTTTCGATTTCCAACTGTCGAGGGATCTTTAACGTGCACAGCCTGTAGCACACGGGGCCTCGGTTTATTGTCCCATCCGAACGACTAGACGCTTTTTCCATGTCAGCCCCTCTTACCTGCATCACTGACAGGGGGAAACCGGGTTGAAAAATCCGAAGGTATTATCTCGACCTATGCCGGGATTGAACCCTGGACCTTCAGGTTAGCGAGCAAGCGTCTAACTCACTGAGCCACCGCGGCTCCCTTCAAAGCACAGTAATACACAATTTGACCATAAATCTTGTGTACACTGTTTAGTCACCACAGCTAGATACATATTGTAAGGCTGAAAGTAAACGTTGACCGTTTTACGAATTTAACTATATATTCATCAGTGAACTTACCTTGTGTTCAACTACAGAACCAAATGCCCCTACAAGACGATTAATCCACAAACCTGAGTATTTGTCCATAAAACTACAGGTCAGTGCATTTCATTTGATAAAAAGTCAACAGTCTATAGCGAAATAGAAGCGACAGTGTTGCCTAATGGCCAAGACTCCCTTACAATGCGTGAAACAACGGCTGTTCTGAGTTATTACCCTTGACCTAAGTCATTTTTTTGTATGTGTTCCTAAATCGTATCTTGTGTGAAAACACTGTCCCCGGATATAGAAACTAGGATGTCGGATAGTAGGCCTATGGGGTACAGAATGCTGCAAATTCTTCGAGTACTCAAAGACAATGTTAGTTAAGGCCCGTGTATAGTGAAGTCATTATGAGATGTTGTATTATAGTGTAGTTGGCGAGTTCTTTTTTCAAAGCCTGTGACACATCAATTGTCCCATCCCCAAAGAAAAGTGAAAATGTCCCTGTGAATAAAAACCTACGACGAAATCAAACATGTAACGCCATTTTAGCTTTAGAGGGACATTTTGGATTTAATTTCAACTTGTAAACTGGGCTTATTATGCGTGATACTATATGTATGTCCTTTGTATAGTTTCTATACGTTGACCTGGCAACAGAGAAACCATTTTAAACATCAAATTGTTTTTGCTGTATTGAAAAATACCTGATAAGATTTTTGCGTGGACAGAATATTTCGCACTACGGACCTACAACTCTTCATTTTTCGGAGGTACGTTTATGAAATTGCTGCTGATTGGTTATTAACAATTGGTGGTCGAATCAGAATTCATTTCTCTGCTAGTACAGTAAATATAGTGCCCGGGGAATTAAAAATACTTAAGTAACCGGTTGAAACCTTTGTAACTTAACGTTTGGATATTTTAAGTTAACTTTCACGAAAGTTAAGGGGCATCTTCTATATGTTGGCATGCGGTTTTATGTATTTCAAGCTCCAAACCACAAAAACCGATTGAAAAAAGCAGAAATCCCCTTAAGATTCACTATCCAAATGGTACTAACTTGGTTTTTTAATCTCTCACTTGAAACAATAATGTGCTAAAAATGTTTTTTTTACCGATATTGTGTGTTTGTAAACTCTTTAATAATAACAATTTGTTATCGTGAAAAAATGTAACAACAATAAAAAAAATGGACTAATTTTAAAGGCATTATAGAGAGATTTTGTGGTGTTATAAAGATGGAGGACTTGTCATAATTATTGCCGACTACCACGCTCGATAGTTCCTGAAATGGCATATTTTCAATGTGAATTGTCATTCTAGTAACAATATACAGAACAAATATATTAGTGATTTGATTTGACAAAGCGCTCTTTTCATTTTCTTCATTTCATTGAACCGAAAAGCATCATGGCATCGTTACTGACACTTATATTATGTGATGCATCCAGCAGCTCAACCTAAGAGCTTCCAAAGGAAAGGGAAATACCAAACAGATCACGAAGAAAGATTCAACCGTTCCGTGGCACCTCGTCGCATGTTAAAAGATATAAATTTTATAGATAAAGAATCAGGTAATGCGCTTTTAATTGAACGATATTTGAAATAAATCGATCAGTCAGACATTTACTGTTTTAATATACACGCAAAGCTTGTCATGCTCAGTCACAAAGTTTATTTTAACCACATCGGTCACGGAATATATTTAAATATATTCATAATGGTATCAAAGTCCAATCAACTATTTCGGTCCATGAAACAATGTGTATTCCTGTCAACCTTGTTGGCAACATCGCTTATGATCGTTAATGCTGATTATTGGAACCGTTCAATTTTTAACGGAACAGAAACCGTAGATAAACAGCATGTAGTTTTAGCATGTGGTCTGGTGGAATGTGGCCTAAGATGTAGCAATCAACATGGTTGTGATCATTTTTTCTATAGCAAGGAAGGTGATTGCTATTTGATATCACCAAGATTTCTAGATATTGGTTCTACACTGTTAACTGGTATATCGAAGTATGAATATATTCCTACAGGTAAGGTCTTATGTTGTATAATCGTATACTCGTATAAGGGTGTTTCCGCTTTCGTAAAATTGAAAACGTTAAATTCGTCGCTTCTTAAAATCGATTTCGGAGGAGAGTCTGTAATTCGGCTCAAAAGTCAGAACTTGTCAATAAATAAATATAACAAATGCAACAAGATTATTTTTAATCTTTCCTGTAAGCATCAAATAGTCAAAAGTTTGGACAGGAACATCTTTAGAAATAGGATTCCTGCCTTAGTCATTTACCTTAAGATTCGTTTATTAAACCGAAGAATGTAATTGCTAAATGAATAGATTTTTAAATCAACCATATGATAAAATGCTTTCATTTCAGGATGTCCATTGATATTTAAGTATTTGAATGATATTTGTTTCTATGTGGTTGATGATCCAGCTGACAAATTACAGTCAGACAAATCGAATATATTTTGTAAGATATACGATGCACAATTAATGGTAATTGACAGTCAAACGAAGCATGATACTATTGTTGACTATATGGATCCTGGTAAGTTTTTCAAAGGCACGGATATCTTATAAAAAAAGAAAATAATGATGGATTCAATAACTTTATCCTGTTCTTCTCAACAACTGTTACAATGGTGAGAACACCATTTCGATAGTTGCTACTACCTGATATTCATTCATCCGTGTAACGATCATGCGTCGCATTGAGCTACATGAACAATGATACAACATCGGATAATTGTACAGGCCTCGTTATAAATAGAATCACTTTTTGGAAGACCAGATTATAGAGTTAGTCTCTTTCATAAACAAAAATATTTATCTTGTCGTTCGATCAGGTAATTTTTACTTAAATATGCAAAAACAAAAAAATTGTCAAATTGTCGACAAAAATCACAAGAAATTTTGTTGGTAAATTTAAGGATAAAATGAACAAATCTACGTCACGAATTATTCCTTCAAATTCAATAAATATGCCAAATTTTTTTCGGTTGTTGTGGCTGGGTGATTTGGAATAAATACGAGCCCATCATGCTGAAAGTATCTTAATGTTATATTTTTGTTAGGTAATACCTATTTGTTTGGAATTTACAATATATTACCAAATCGTTCATTTGATACGACGGACAACAGAAAGAGTGAAGATATACAATACAGTAACTGGAAAGATGGAGAACCAGCTGGGCCATTTGATAAACCTAATTATGGTATAATAAGAACTACCGCTGGTGGTACAAATTTTACATGGAAAAGTGGTCAGAAAAAAATCCGTTACTTCATCTGTGAAAAATATTAAAATCTATCGGAATAAAGATCTCAAAATATTTATTTGCAATTCTTCCTTCATATTTACTTATTTTGCTTACTTAGCTCAAAAACTTCAAACCAATTTGTTTACAACCTCTAACTCTAAAACAAACTGCACAGATGAGAATTTTTTGTCGGTAGCTGGAGATGCGAGTTCAGTAAACTGGCCAGTCCATCTTTAGTCCGTTTCAAAATAACTCTTATCATTGGAATTCATAACATCAGTAATCAACCAAAAAGTGGAAATTGTGAAATACCAATATTGGCATTGGAATGAAGAATATAAGGATTCCTGTTGATTCTTTAAGTTTTAAATTAATATTGATATTTATTGACCAGTAGATGTCATTCTGTTAATAAGATTTTTGATAAGGAAATGTGTGATTAAAAGAACGTGTGTGCGATTTTTGGGGATTGATTTGAGTCTTTATTACACTGTATTAGGGAAATAATATGTAACTGTAGAATAATTCTATGTTGCGCGTTTTATCACAATTATTAAGCTATTATTTTTACAAAGTCCGATCTCCTGCAAAGCAAGCTCGGATATGTCTAGGAATATCCTTTCCTTTTTTCTTTTCTATATATGGCAGTGTCTCAAATATAGACGACTCGTCTTTATAACTTTACATTCTGGACAGACATGGATTTGAAAGCTCAAATTTCGACGGTCAACTGTAAACACTATTACTGACTGGCTTAGTTTAAAAAAATCCAGTTTCTGATAAAAAATAAAAATGGTGCATCTCTGTCAACGTGTTCGTAACAATATTTTTTAAATTTATCCTCTTAAATCTATCAGCCAGCTTTTCAAATTAAAACAGGCCTACACAGACAGTGAACCGGGGACAATGTTATCTCTCTATTGTTCATATTATGTACTTTTTAGTTTAAAGAAATGTTTAACGTCAAACGCAACCACGTGCTTCATGTTATGTGAACAAGGTTTAAAACCACCAACAAATTGTATTTATTCATTGCTTTATTACTGGATAAGGCATAATACTGTTTTATTTTGTAACACCTCACTATATATATACATGTGTAAATTACAAATCATTTTTTTTCCATGCCTGCCATGTATGTCTATATTGAAACATCGGTGTATGAGTTCGACGTAACAGCTGCATAATTTGACAGTAACGACATTCTTCTTTGTGTATTTGTGGTAAATGCATATGAAATTGAAATTGAATGTGATTAAAATATTTAATGTATCCAGTCGAGATCAAATCTTCTAAGAGTTCAAATTCACATCCTTCACAATTGATGTGTAATAAATCAACATTTTTCTTAGTCACACCCACTTCGTCGAAAAAATCGATCGACTTTCTTATTTTGATTTCCGTCGTTTCTGTGCCTTTTTGGATTTCTTGTCTGAATAGCGACGTGGCATCAGTTTGTATTGGTATGGTTAAAATCTTATCCTCACAACCAAGTCCAAAATTTAAGACTGTAATTTTATCGTCCTTTTTGAATTTTTTAACAAGCAAATCAAAAAACAAAGGCACTGGTTCCAGCATGATATATTTTGGTCGAATTCCTTTAGATCTAAGACGATCAACGTCAACACCTTTGTAGCCACCTATCTCAATCATTAAACTATCATTTCGTGTTAAATAAGGTTTGTGAATCATGACTCTCTGATGTTCCATCTTTCCTGAATTAATGTTCGATTTCTCCAACTTGGCGTATCCTTGCACACATTTTGTTATATCCGAGTATTCATATTCCTGTAGTTTAACTCCAATATTGCATGTAGCTAACGGAAACTGTGCCTGTAATTTTTTCGTATGGTTAATCGTTTTAAATAACACATTTGGCATATGTTTTAACGAGTAGTTCAGTTCATTATTAAAGAATAAAAAAGCTCCGAGCAACACTAAGACCAGGATAAAAGTTATTTTAGCTATTTGTACAACACTCGTTGGTCGTAGCGCCATTCTTCCACTCTCCGTTTTTCTTCAATAGTATGCTGTTCCTCTTCTAATTCCTATAAAAATAGCAAGATATTCATTACCCAAGTGTAAATAACTAACACGTCAACAATAGATGATGTAGATGCGTGAAGACAAAATCGAACAAAAAAAAGTAAACAAGGAAAAATGATTTTGTCTGGTGGTGTTCAAATTTCAACTTTTCTTTTCAAATTTAATATATAAGGTTTAAATTTGAGATAGTCTGTTGAAAACTAACATATGGACAGTTTTAAACAGACTATCTCAAATTTAAACCTCATTGTTAACGTTTGTGGTCTTGAATTATGAAAGTGAAACAGCTCTTTTAGTTTTCAGTTTTTTTTTCAAAACTTCAGAACAATCTTTCTTATTATGACCTAAAATAATTCTTTTTTCGTGCGAATAGGTAACTAATGTTGAAAATGTATATATGCATTCTTCGTTCCGTTCTTTTACAATTTTTTGGATTTTGAAAATATGATGAATTAGAAATACTTACAAAAATAAGACAATTTGTTAAAAAACGAATTGAGAATCACCTTAGTTATACAACATTGCTCTATCTCATCAAAAACGTAATAATCCGAATTGATTTTTGTATGATATTACAAAGAAAATAATTCCGAACATTACTTCACAAGTTCTCGATATGTTATACTGGAATAGTATTTAACCAAATTATCTTAACCACTGTATAATTAATTAATCTAATTTATCTGACAGTGATTGATCTAGATACCTTAGCATGGGTATATGCAAACGACTATAAGAGTAATCAAGCAAATTGATGCGGAAGATCCTCAGGTGTTATGGCTCATAATAATTTGTAATTATATACTTTTAATTTGCCCATGGGGTTAGCTTAATATAAAAGCATTATAATGATTATTATCATCATCATGCATACGCAATCTTGAAGGCTCAAATTTCGACGGTAAACTGTGAACATTATTACCGATTAGTTAAGCGGTACAATTCACGTTTCTAAGACCGAGGTATGATTTATTCCCGGAAATCCCGCTTCTGTCCCTTTAAGTACGAGTCTTTTCTCTGTTATCAACCATTTGTAGGATAGTGGGCCAAATACTAACGAATTAGCCTATATTCTCATAATGGAATGACGTACAAAATTAGATCTATTTTCAATATTCAATGCCTAATATCTATTAAGATCTATACATTCAAAAGTAAGCTTCAATGTAAAAGAATGACACCAAAAAGTTTCTATCGCGTGTAACTGTAATTTCGAGGCAAAACAGCAAAGGTCAATTAATATCCAATTGAGTATTATTTAATATATAAACAACATACCCACTAGAAATATAAACATTTATTATTTTACGTTGTCAAGTTATTTCTTTTTAAATAATAAACCACAGGCATTTGTCAAATTTGTGGTCGAACATGTCCTGAACTTTGCGACTCATTATTGACTAATTTAGTATGCTATGAAAGTAGAATGGTTTTAGAATGTTCATGACCAGAAATTCAAAGCCGTTTTCTTCCAATTTTTCATTTAATTCTTTAATTAGCCCCGAGATTCATTCATTATCGACTGAAATGTCTCGACGGTTATTATTTCTCGTTATATTCTTGCGTCTGTGTCTATTTCTTTCTATCAATATGGTAGAAGATAGATTCACCCCCCCCCCCCCCTCCCACCCCCCCCCCCCCCCCCAACCCACCGTTAAACATTTTTAGGCTGTCTAACTAGTATAAAGTAAGTACACTATAGAAAGAGAAACTATATCGAATGCCTGTGTGAATGAGGTGCTTTATTGTTAAAGAACCATAGAAATATAACTAATACTTTGACACATTTATTATAAAGTATAAAATAGTTAAATACGCACTCAGTTAATTGAAGTTGTCGTTTAAAATGGCACTGATAGAAATTTGTTTTTTCTACCTGTTTTGTGTCTCTGCAATATCGACAAAAACTGGTAATTCTGTTTTTATATACTTTTATATGTTATTTGAATTTATAAGTTTGAAAATCATGCACAAAGATTCTTTAAAGAGAACATGTTGTGTTATCTATCGTGATAATATCGAAGACATAAATATGTTTTAGTCATTTTAGTTGCAATTGATTTTGGCGTATGATTTTTTTGAAGCTTTTGTAAAATTAAAACATCTGGAAGTGGTTCGAAGATAAAATTATATATCAATTCCTTTTTTTAAATGAAGTTTAGATTGCTCAAATAAAATTTATCAGCTATGAGAAAGAAACTGTTTTATAGTTTTTCCCCCTTATTTTCAGATTATGATCAATACGGAGAAAACTACGACTCCTATAATGAAGGCTTCAATACAGGTAACTATCTGTAAATTTAGGTGGAAATTTGATGTTTGTGTATGGAAAGTGCAAATTTGAATTGGAATTTGTGATAGAGAATAAGATGTGTTTTTAAGAACCGATACAAGAATATTGATTCTGAATGATATACCAAATGTCCACTTTAAGCAGCCATCCAGTATATACAAGCTTAGAGAGCATATTTTCATCGTCTAGCAGTTGTTAAGAACATTAATCTTAGTTAGTTTCTAGATTTGAACTTCAAGACAGAGAGGTTTTGATATGTCTCCATGTGCATGATGAGGTCTGTGTCGATACGATACAAAACTTAATGTATTTTTGGGTCGTAGAGCCAATGAATGTAGTAAAAGCCTAATTCACTATCTTCACTTATGACAGATCCGAACCCCGAATGGTGAGCTAACTTGTGGTCTAGTAATAAATTTTACAGACAAAATGGTAAAGGTAGCCCTTAGTAGTATTCAATTAATTTTTTTTTATAGTTGTTTTATGATCCTCTTTATTGGAATAAAATACCCTGGAAAATAAAAATATTTATTTGGGTGTTTATTAATCTTATACTTTTGTTGTTTGAATATAGATGTATGTAACTCACCCATTACACCATTTAGCACTCCTGATAAAAGATTAGAAAGCTATGTTCTTGGAGAAAACGAAACACCAATATCAGACCTAGGCTTATCATACGACTGGTATGGTCAGCCTAACTATAAGATGTATTCTGGTAGCAGTCCAGGAACCGGCAGATGTGGAACAGTTCAACAGGTTTATTTTGAAGGTAGGCACAGAACAAAGTAACTATATTTCAAATATCTCCATTCTAACATTTCCATTTTCAAGATTTTAAGACTTCAATTTTGAACTGAAGATTTTTTTATAGATGGCTGTCCGTCATGATTCTTTGAACACTCAAAACATTTTAAATACCGATAATGTTGATGTACACTGTACGTTGTCGTCGCGGCTGTCTGACAGTCTATGATGTACCTATGAATGTAATTGTCAGCTTGACAACTTAACAGATATACGGTGTTACATAGCATAAGGCAAATGTTATACCAACATAACAGAAGGCAAATGTTATACCAACATAACAGAAGGCAAATGTTATACCAACATAACAGAAGGCAAATGTTATACCAACATAACAGAAGGCAAATACCTTGCCAACATAACGGAAGGTAAAAAGAATGCCAGCATAACAGAAGGCAAATACCTTGCCAACATAACGGAAGGTAAAAAGAATACCAACATAGCAGAAGGCAAATACCATGCCAACATAACAGAAGGTAAATACCATACCAACATAACAGAAGGCAAATACTTTGCCAACATAACAGAAGGCAAATACCTTGCCAACATAACATAAGGCAAATACCATGCCAACATAACAGAAGGCAAATACCATACCAACATAACAGATGGCAAATACCTTGACAACATAACAGAAGGCAAATACCTTGCCAACATAACATAAGGCAAATACCATACCAAACATAACAGAAGGCAAATACCATGCCAACATAACAGAAGGCAAATACCATACCAACATAACAGAATGCAAATACCATACCAACATAACAGAAGGCAAATACCATACCAACATAACAGAAGGCAAATACCTTGCCAACATAACAGAAGGCAAATACCTTGCCAACATAACATAAGGCAAATACCATGCCAACATAACAGAAGGCAAATACCCGGGAAACATAAATATAAAAAGGTAAATGTTATACCAACATAACAGAAAGCAAATGTTATACCAACATTACAGAATGCAAATACCATACCAACATAACAGAAGGCAAATACCATACCAACATAACAGAAGGCAAATACCTTGCCAACATAAGGCAAATACCATGCCAACATAACAGAAGGCAACTACCCGGGAAACATAAATATAAAGGTAAATGTTATACCAACATAACAGAATGCAAATATCATACCAACATAACAGAAAGCATTTACCATACCTACATAACAGAAGGCAAATACCATACCAACATAACAGAATGCAAATACCATGCCAAAAAACATAAGGCAAATAGAATGCCAACATAACAGAAGACAAATACCCGGGAAACATAAATATAAAAAGGCAAATACCATACCAACATAACAGAAGGCAAATACCATGCCAACATAACAGAAGGCAAATACCATACCAACATAACAGAAGGCAAATGCCATGTCAGCATATCAGAAGGCAAATATCTTGACAACGTATCAGTATTGTTACTAAAATATCATACAGTAATTTACTAACCATTGCCAACATAAAGGTAGGAAAATATCTTGCTAACATATGAGACGGAAAATACCTTGCCAACATAACAGAAGGCAAATACCATGCCAACATAACAGAAGGCAAATACTGCCAACATCACGAGATATTGTTAGCGTTTAATTTTGCTAGAAAAATTAATCAGAGTTCATCATTGGGTGATAACAAACAAGTTTCGTCAAAATTCGTCCAAAATTGTGACTTCTACATTGTTCGCGAGCATTTCGATAACAAGGGCAATAACTTATACTTAATGTCTGATTTTCAATAGGGTTCATCCTTAGGCGATTACACACACTGATACCAATTGTGCTTCTTAAGTGCTTACGAGCAATTGTGACCCGACCGACTGACCGACTGACCGACCGACCAACCGACCGAACGACGGACAGTCATGTGGGCGTATAAAAATTGGAATAGTCAAATACAATTACAAAATTTTCACCCAAAATGTTCGTTACAGGGTGGGCATTATTTTGAACATTTTAATGAAGCCATACAGAAGAGGTTACATAAGCATTTTAAGTTGGAAAAATACTTTGATAATACAATTTATTACCTATTGTACTAAAATGAACGCCATCTCTAATATACGTGTTTTGATGGTTGAATTGGGTGTACTCCCCTCAATTTGCAAAAGGACCATGAAGGTTTGAGTTTAAAGATGTTTGGCCTAATCTACATATTCATTGTATTCTTTAACGCGAACATGGTGAGTTTTTAAATCTTAGTGTAAAACTCGCCATGTTTCTAATAAAAGAAATATCAAGTGTAGTATACCGGTAATGTTCACTTATTGCACGCGTCAACCCAGACCTGTCTACATTCATGAGACTACGGCACCAGGCCCATCTATGCTAGAGAACTTTTGATGAAGGAGATCGAAATCGTTATAACACAACCCGCCAAGGCCTCAATATGTTATTTACGTTTTTTAGATGATTCTGAAGCAAGTCAGTCGACTAATATAACTCAATTGTGGGCGTGTGTAAATGGTGACAATAGGTGTAATTACAGGATCCCTATTAGTGTGACATTCTGTGAGCAACTTAATCATCATGTATATCGTTTAAATCCTGAAATACCACAAAATGCCAGCTTTTGCTTAGGTAAGTGGAGATATTTGTATCTTCCTCTACACATTTTACTTGTATGCCCCGTATCGTGTTTTGTACAATATCTATCTATACGTAATCCATAAGTAAACCATATATTTTATCAAATTATGAAAACAAATATAATCGATGATATAAAAATACTACAAAATTCTGGACTGTTGTTGTTTTTAGTGCTGATAAAATTTAGTAGTGCTGAGAATCTATTTCCAGTGTAATTTCAATTCGCATTCAAAATATCTTATCCGATCCGTTACAGTTTTAGACTATTACCTATAAACTATAATCACAGATTCCGACCGCTCATTTCTATGACAAGATAAAATAAAATAGCCAATTGTAGAACGTGAGCCTCCGATCTGATCTCCGACTTTTCGGTGCGATAAAGTCGACTATTTAAATCCAGCGATTGGGAAAATTATTTTTGATGCACCAGTTAATTGTAGTTGTTGAAAATCTAGTTGCTTGAAGGTTGACCTAAACCCCAATGATATTGTTAGAAAATGTTTTTTTTTTCTGTGATTCTAATCCTATCCACGTACTGAGAGCATGATTTATAATACATGTACTACTATGACACTTACAAAATGTGTTGCTTTCAGAAAGATTCAATTCACAATTAAACTACATCACAGACGTTGAAGTGATAATACCACCACCAGTTGAAGTGGCCGGACAAATGAAATATCAGTTCAGATGTATGTTCGATTTATCGACGAGTGATAACTATTGGTATCATGTCACGTGGTATAGAGATGGTCAGATCATTAAAAATGTCCCGCCAATATCACATAGTAACAATCCAGTTGGTGGGTCGGTACTGGATGAAACAATGTATGGTGGAGGACTTGGCTTTGAGGTAGATCTAATTTAATATCCCAGACTATGAATTCCCTTTTTATTACCCTGGTGCCACAGTCTCTTACAAAAGCTCTGGGTGTTTTAGTAAATCTCCTTAAAGCATTCAGTTGTAAGTAGATTTCAAACAAGAATAGGCAGCTTATGAGAGATCTGAAGTAGTACAACACTGATAGGTGTTCGAATGATAATTATTACTCGTTAAACACCTACAAACTACACCATGACACAATGTAATTTTAGGTACAATGTGCTTATGCAGTAAGTCTTCAAGCGGATTCTGAAACTGGTTATGTTAAGAAAAGTACTGAGAGATATGTAGGAATAGAGGTTTGTTGTCTTATTGCAATTTCAAATGGAAAATGATCAAATATATAAAAGATTAAAAACTCAGTTCAATCGAATTTCTATTACCAAATAAAGATATGTTATGAATCAAGTCACCTGATGATACAATCTTTTTTCATTCGTATTGGTGCATGTGCTGCGTGTATCAGTCGATTTCTTTTGTATGGTCTGCAGGTCAGTTGGAATTTAAAAGTTTATAAATCGTCGTCTTTACTTTGTAGCTTCTTACACCA